GCCTATATTTGAATTATTCATCTAATCAAAACATATCAAGATTGAGTTTTTTTTTATTCTCTTGCTATGATTTGTTTTTATTTTTTTTTTTGGGTTTATGTCAAGAGGGCGTTAATTCTTGTCTTGCTTAATTATAATTTCTGGTTTTTTTGTTTTTAAGATTTACCGCCAAATTGGTCTAAAACTTTTGCAAGTTGGCGGATTTCTAAAAATTGAATTGCCTATTTTAAAAATTTGTTAGCTAAGGAATACCACTACTCACTCCTAGTTCTACTCTGTATATAAATATGAGCATTATGCTCTGTTTCATTGGCGACTTTTTAAAGAAAAATGGATATGCTTGATGACATTGAAACTTCCTGCAATCGTATAAAGAGATTAACTAATGAAGAAAGGCAATCCATTTTTGAAACTCTCTTGCAGTATAGTGATGGTGGAAAATTGAGAAGAGGGACAATTAAGAATGTTGTAGACTTATTTCAGATAAATGTCATAACTGTTAGCAGGATTTGGAAATGAGCGGCAGTCTCTTTTGCAAATGGAGGAGTAGTTGATGTAACTCGGAGATTTACAAAAGGACCTGGACGGAAATGAGTGGAAATAGATTTCACCTCCGTTATGACAATTCCTCTTCGCAGCCGAACAAACATTCGTTCTCTCTCCAGTGAAATGAAAGTGGCTAAGTCAACTCTTCATTGACAAATTAAAGAAAGTGCTATTAGGCCGCATTCAAATGCATTGAAACCACAGTTGACGGATGAAAATAAGCAAGTAAGACTTCGATTTTGCTTGTCAATGCTTGAATATGAAAGTCTCAATACTAAACCAGTTTTTAGGAGTATGTTTAATGTTGTTCATGTTGATGAAAAATGGTTTTATATGACTAAAGAATCCAAAAGGTACTATCTTCATCCTGAGGAAGAGCAACCTCTTCGAACATGTAAGAGCAAAAAATTCATTGCAAAGGTTATGTTTCTAGCTGCTGTAGCTCGACCTCAGTTTGATTGCTCTTACTACCGAGAATTTGATGGCAAAATTGGTATTTTTCCCTTTGTATTAAAAGAGCCGACAAAAAGGAATAGTAAAAATTGGATTGCTGGTACATTAGAAACGAAGCCAATATTGTCAGTGGCTAAAGAGGTGTATAAAGAGCCGACAAAAAGGAATAGTAAAAATTGGATTGCTGGTACATTAGAAACGAAGCCAATATTGTCAGTGGCTAAAGAGGTGTATAGAAGATGCCTAATTGAAAAGGTTTTGCTTGCAATACACAGTAAATGGCCACGTGAGAATGGTACTGAAATTTTCATCCAACAAGATAATGCCAAACCACATATTAATCCCATAGATTCTGAATTTATTGAGGCTGCTTCAATGGATGGATTTGATATTCACTTGTTATTTCAGCCTCCTAATAGCCCGGACATGAATGTTCTTGATTTAGGATATTTTAGGGCCATACAATCACTTCAACATCAAGAAGCGCCCAAAACAATTGATGAGCTAATCCTTGCTGTTGAAAAACCATTTGATCAACTATCAACTGAAAGCCTCAAAAATGTTTTCTTAACATTGCAATCATGTATGGTAGAGGTGATGAAGAACTTAGGGGAAAACAATTACAAGTGTCGCACATTGGAAAGCATCATTTAATGAAAGATGGTTCTCTTCCTCTGCACATTGAATGTAAAAAAGAACTTGTTAACCAAGTTCGAAGTCATATACAAGCTTGAAGATGGTTTCATTGGATAGGTTCACTTATATGCAAAACTAGTTTGTGCTTTACAGTTTATGTTCCCTACTTCTTTGTTTATGGTTGTTTACACTAACTTTTGTTTTTTTTCTTCTTTATATAGGTATTGAAGTATACTAATCAGGTTTTTACAAGTAAATGGCAGTACAAGTGGTTCGATTTTGCATCTTATATTTATGGTAGTTTACACTTACCTATATTCTTTATCTTCTTATTTATTGGTACTCAACAGTATAAGTGCTTGGATTTTGCAAAATGTAAAAAAGGACTCAATCTTTCTTTTGATCAGTTATTCTTGTTTGCTTAATGCGTATCTATGAAATATTGATATGGCAATTTATAAAGATGCATATCTATGGAAATTGGTAAATTATTCTTGTTTACTTAATGCATATCTATGGTTGTTTACTTATTAGAAATATAAGTTGAGTTATTGGATATGGCAATTCATATTTTATTATTTTTTAGATTGATTCTTTTGATATTCTCAATTATCTGCATCTTTATTTGTTGTTTTGATTAACTCAAGTTTTTTCTCATCTTACTTGCAGGGACTTAAAGTCTAAAAATTCAAACTTTTTGAACTAGATGGTGCAAGTACTTTAATTGTGCAACGATTGGAGTACTAAAAGTGCTTACCAATTTATAAATTAAATGTTTTTGCTCACTTTAGTAAGGTGACTTTTGTAAAGCATGTACTCCATATAAAGGCTCATTTTGGCCGAATGTTTTTGGTTGAATCTTGTATGCTAATGCCTTTTTTTCCTCTTTGGCTGGATCATTTTGATTGAGTAATAGGTGTGGGCTACTTCTCTTACTCCGTTTGTGCCAATGTGAATTTTTATTTTTTCATAAAAAAAGATGTGAATTTTAATTTGTAGATCTCTAATTAAAATTATAGAAAAAAGATATACACTTTGTCCTGCAACCGAGAAAAGAGAAGCACTTTGTCTTGAAACCAATGATTGTGGGACCCATACACTTTGTCCTACAACCGAGAAAAGAGATGCACTTTGTCTTGAAACCAAAGATTGTGAGACCCATAGCATTTTGTGGGCCAAACTATAGTATTCTTTATGGCCAAACTATAGTATTCTTTATGCATAATTAATGAAGGGTATGGAGGGAATTTCAGAGTATAAAGTAGTTAAAAATAGAAAACATGACAAATATTTTGGGACAACCAAAAAAGAAAAGAATGACACTTTCAATGGGACGGAGGGAGTAGGATTTATTATGAGTAAAAAGAGAATTGAGATTGATCTGACAAAAATCAAAGCAATTCAAGAGATGCTCATACCGAAAACTCAGAAGGACGTGAAAAGTTTTTTGGGAATGATCAATTCTATCGACAGATTTATCGCTCAATTAACGTCTACATGTGAGCCTTTGTTCAAATTATTAAAGAAAAATGTGCCGATGCACTAGAACAAAAAATGTTAGCAAGCTTTCGATAAAATTAAGGATTATCTGTTGAATCCTCAGGTCTTAGAGCCATCGGAATCAGGTCGACCTCTGATCATGTATCTGTCCGTGTTGGGGTGAGGCTATGGGATGCGTGTTAGGACAGCATGATGACTCGGGGAAGAAGGAGCAAGTGATCTATTACCTCAGCAAGAAATTCACCGCCTACGAGACCAACTATTCTTTTCTTGAAAGGAGTTGCTGGGCCTTAACTTGGGTCGCTCAAAAGTCGAGGCATTACTTGCTTAGTCACACTACGTACCTTATTTCTCACTTCGACCCTTTGAAGTATTTATTGGAAAAATCGATGCCGACGGGACGTATGGCAAAGTGGCAGATGATTCTTTCAGAGTTCGATATCATTTTCACTACACAGAAGGCAATCAAAAGTCAAGCCGTAGCGGATCATTTGGCCGAAAATCCAAGAGAAGATGATTACCAGCCATTACATACATATTTTCCTAACAAGGAGATCTTATTTATTGGCGCATTTGAAGATATGAACGAGCAATACCCTAGGTGGAGGTTATTATTTGATGGCGGTTTGAATTCTTTTGGAGCCGAAATCGGAGCTGTTTTAGTGTCACCTGAGGGAAACCATTACCCTGCTGCCGCTAAATTATGATTTTCTTGTACTAACAACATGGCTGAGTATGAAGCTTGTATTTTTGGACTAAAAATGGCATTTGAGATAGAGATAAGGGATTTGATCGCGTTCAATGATTTTGATTTGCTAGTGCATCAAACACTTAAGTCGTGGGTAATGCGAGACTCAAAAATCATGTCGTATCATTGTAATCTACTTAGTTTGGCCTATAAGTTCAGAAGTTTGAAATTCAGGCATATCCCTCACACTTGCAATGTTTTTGTTGATACTCTGGTCACTTTGTCTTCTATGATTCAACACCCGGACGAGCTGGTAAGCGAACCTATTCAGATTCAGTTCCAAGATAAACCGACACATTGCTTAACTATAAAAGAGACCTCTGACGATCATCGGTGGTATAGCGCCATCAGGAATTTATAAAGACGGGATCTTACCCTCTAGTTGCTGATTCAACTGCCAAAAGCTCCTGGCGCAAAATGTCATCAAGATTTTTTCTGAACGGAGAGGTGTTATATAAGAAAACATCTGATTTGTGCCTTCCAAGGTGCATCAATAGAGAGGAAGCTGAATATATGATGAAAGAAATTCACAGTGGTGTATGTAGACCCCACATGAATAGGCACTTACTGGATAATAAGATCATGAGAATGAGGTATTTTTGGCTCACCATGGAGTATGACTGTGTAGACTTTGTCAGGAAATGTATTAAGTGTCAAATGCATGCCGATATTATACATGCTCCTCCTACAGAGTTACATAGTGTGACTACTCCTTGGCCCTGCTCAATGTGGGGAATGGACGTGATTGGAACTATTGAACCCCTAACTTCAAATGGGCATCGATTCATCCTGGTAGTGATCAAATATTTCACCAAATGGGTTGAAACGACATCTTACAAGAGCGTGAACAAGAAAGTAGTATTCGATTTTTTGAGAGACCACATTATCTGTCGTTTCAGAGTGCCAAAGACGCTGATCACTGACAATGCCAGAAACCTCAATAATGACATGGTAGATGGATTATGTGAACAATTCAAAATCAAACATCGGAATACGGCTATCTACAGGCTTCAGATGAACGGAGTAGTAGAGGCTGCAAACAAAAATCTGAAAAAAAATCATTCGCAAAATGACGGAAAGGCATCGAGATTGGCATGAGAAGAAGCCGCATGTATTAATGACTTATTGGACTGCAATTAGAACTTTTATTGGGGCAACGCCTTATTGTCTCATGTACGATATGGAAGCAGTATTACCCGCAGAGGTTGAGATCCCCCCTTTGAGCATTTTAATGGAAACTCAGTTGGATAAAGCAGAATGGACTAAACAACAACAGGAGCAACTATCCTTGATTGATGAAAAGCGATTAAATACCGTTTGCCACGAACAGTACTATCAAAGGCGAATGGCTCGTGCCTACAATAAGAAGGTCAAACCTCATCTATTCCAAGAAAGGGACAAAGTTTTGAAACGAATTCTTCCCATCCAAGATGAAGCTAAAGGAAAATTTGCTCCAAATTGGCAAGGACCTTTCATTGTTAAGAAGGTATTGCCTGGAGGAGCACTTATTCTCATAGAGATGGACGGACAGATTTTTCCTCAGCCAATCAATTCAGACATGTGCAAGACGTTTTTTATCTGATTATGTGAATTTTTTTGAAATACGGTTTAAGGTGGACTATAAGGCGGGCCTTTTTCTTTTTCCTTTGAACATTTTATCTCTAGTTCTCCCCTTTGAACCTCCAGAATAATCTACTCCTTAGTTTGGTAGCCGCCTAAAGATCGCAAACCACACACTGGGGCTAATTTTATCTTACATTTGTAAATAAATTTAAAAAAAAAAAGAAAAAAGCAAAAGCCAAACTGGGAAAAATTTTTAAGTTTCAATAGCCCTATACTGGGGCAAGATTTTATAGAATGTGATCTTAGGATTTTTTAAAATCCTAAAAAAAAAAAAATTTTGCCTTCCAGCCATAACATTTCTTAACACCACGCCTAACCCCATTACAAAAGCCTTAACGCCCCGACTTCCACCTTAGCAGTGACTCTAACAGAAATTTTTTTAATCAAATGGCAAATGATGTCAATACACTTTCGTCAATTTTGCAAGGGAAGGATTGTCATACTGATGCCATCAATTCTTGAAACATATTTCTAAATCGATATAGGCTATCGGTAAAATTTGTTAATTAGGTGAAAACCTGAAAGGGCACCTTTTCAAAAAAAAAAAACAACAAAAAAAACAAGCAAAAGCAAAAGTAAAAGAAAGAAAATAAATGGGTTGGGGCAACCTTGGTGAAAATCCGAAAGGGTGCTAAGGTAGGGTTTTGAATCACGGACTAAGCTAGAAATAGAAAGCCGAGAGATTCTATATTCGTTTGGATTTCTCCTCGTGTTGAGCTTCTTTTGGCAACACCAAATTTCAGAAATGTGATATCTGAAGGGGTCAAGTGTGATGTTTTTCTCATCATAGATGGGTGATTCGAATTTGTATTTGAGTCTCCAAATTGTTCCGTAAACTTTGTAAGAGTCATTTTTCTTGTTGAAGAATTATTTTACTCCATTTGGTGTCCACATGAAATAATTTTGTCTAAAATTTTTATTTGCGTTCCATTTAACTCACCCAAAAGACAATCCCTGTAATCTATCGTAATTGGTGCATAAACATATTTCTTATGGTCTAAACTCAGTTGGCTGAATACAGTTGCTAGCAGATCAAGAAGGGGCTACACAAGATTTTCGAATCAAACAGTTGTGCGATATTAAAAGGATCAAGTTTCCCAAGACTCGAGGGATCACATGCTAGTGGCATTATATTTCGTTGTAATTATTTCTCTTTTACAGGATTGAACTACACACATTTTCTTAAAGGATCAGAAAATCAGTAATCATTCAGTCAAGTCTAATCTATACTGGGGCAATTTTGCCACAAAGGTGACATTTTATCATTTAAGTAAGTCTAATATTTGTTTAAAAAATAACAAAAATCACTTCGCACCTTTTGATTCAAACACATTTTTTGTCTAACTCTTTTATTTTGTTAGATTTGGATTTTATCCCACCGAACATTTATTTTGTTAGATTTGGGTTTTATCCCATCAACCTTTTATTTTGTTAGGTTTGGGTTTTATTCCATCAACCTCGTCGGATTTGGGTTTTATCCCACCGAACGCTTATTTTGTTAAGTTTGGGTTTTATCCCATCAATCTTTTATTTTGTTGGATTTGAATTTCATCCCACCAACCTTTTATTTTGGATTTTATCTCACCGAACATTTATTTTATTGGATTTGAATTTTATCACACTAACCTTTTTTTTGTTGAGTTTGGGTTTTATCCCATCGAATGTTTATTTTGTTGGGTTTGAATTTTATCCCACAAATCATGTCAAATTTAAGTTTTATCCCACCGAACGTTTATTTTGTTGGATTTGGGTTTTATCCCACCAACCACATCGGGTTTGGATTTTATCCCACCGAACGTTTCTTTTGTTGCATTTGGATTTTATCCCACCAATCTTTTATTTCGTTAGGTTTGATTTTTATCCCACCAACCACGTCGGATCTAGTTTTATCCCACCGACCGTTTATTTTGTTAGGTTTGGACTATCCCACCACTCCTTTTATTTTCTAGATTTAAATAATTAAGTTTTGCTAGTTGTTTCGATTGTAATTGAGTCAGATAGATAAATAATTGGGTGTCTACGTCTTTATCTTGAATTTTTTTGAAATCTAGATAAAGAGGGGCAAACTATAGACAACAAATTTTATCATTTTATTTTTTAATTTTATTTATTTTATTTTGTTTTGTTTCACTTCCATTTCTTGAAAAAATCAATTTTTTAGAAAAATCAAAGAAAAAGAAAATCAAAATCAAAATCAATTTTTGTTAATATATATATATATATATATTTTTTACTCACGCGACGTTCATGAATTCATTCCAGAAGCCATGAACGTAGTCGAAGTACAAAATGGCAGCAACAAGCTCCATCCCATTTCCACTCAATTTTGTTGCTTTTTTCTTTCCATTTAAGCCCCCCATTACAAGGGACAGATCATCTTCCAATTCTTATCCCAAATCTGCCATCTAAAGGCTCAAAATCATCCCTAAAAATCGATTTCATCGCACCCATTGACATTAGGGTTGGAGGGGGCTTTGATTCCATATAAATAGATAACAAGGGGGTCTGAGAAAGAGAGAGAAGGAGAGGAACAAGTGAGGAGGCGGTGGAAAAGAAACCCAAAGAGAGAAAAAAGTGAAAAAAGGAAAAAAATAAATTTTTCTGGAAAAATATGATAACCAGGTTGAGCCGCCAGCCTTCTTCATCACTAAATTCCGATCTCGTTTTGAGTTTTTGGAGCGGATTCTCTGTTTCTAAACTTTCTTGGGAGGGATCTGAACAACTTTTATTCAAAAACTGTTTGGAAAAAATGTCTCCAAATCAGTTGAATCGGGGTTCCAAGTTCCAGGTTCACCATCGCTGAAATACCTGCGGCAAAAGCTCTTTCAGTTTCGTTTCCAAAACCAGCGCGATTTCTTGGAGGCATTTCATGTTCATTTTACTTCACCGGGGTTCTAAGGTAACCATAGTTTCTCCTCTTGTTAGTTTAACACGATTTTTCATGAAACTCAAGCCTGTTAGACATGAATCTTGAGTTATTTTGCTGCTGAGTTTTGCTTCACATTTCAACCGTGCTCATTTTTAGATGATTGGCTTAGTCATGGCTCTTTGCTGTTTGAGTTTAGCTTTGGGATTGTGAAATAAAGTTCATAAGATCTCATTTGTTTTGATTTTGTCTTGTGTGGTTTCTAGGTAATGAAGAACTCAGAGTTGCAGAAGAAGAAGAAAGCTTCTTTGTACTAGGCTGCATGGATTTTTTAAAATTGCACTTAGATCCCTTAATTTTTTACGTAATTTCACTATGATCCAAAAGCTTCTGCAAATGAATCAATTTTGCCCCTTTTAAACTTTAATCTTCTTTTGGATGTTTTATGTGACTTGTTAGGTAGATTAATTTTGAGATTTAATACATAATTAAGGTCTAGCATTTTTTTGTAGATTTATCACTTTGTTGGATTTTAGTAAAATAGGTTAGGTTGGGTTAAGTTTTTTTTTATATGGGCTTTTGGTTAAAGTTTGAGGTTTATTTTGTTGGGTTTCACATGGGTTTGGAGGGTTAAAACCCAATGTTTTCGATTGGGGTTTAAGTGATAAAAAAAGAACGGGTTGGCCTGTTTGTTTTCTTGGACTTTTACTTGGGCTAAGTGGTTTCTGGCCCGAAGGAAATAGAAAAATGGCCCAATGGCCCAATTTCTTAAGAGAATCTGATGACAAAATTTGTGCTTTGACCCTCGGACTTTTAAATAATTATATTATGGCCCTAAAAACTTTTGATTTCTTTCAATTAAGTTCCTATTTTAATTGCATTTTGGTCCTAAACTTTATTTTTCTTTGATTTTGATCCCTAATCTTTGTAATAATTATAAGTTTTCCCAAAAAATTTCTTAATTTTTGCAATTAGATCCCTGATAGTTTTATTTCTTAAATACAAGTTGTTTTTCTCTTTAATTGTTAATTACACCTCATTTAAGTGCTTTAATTGGTAGATTTCATAGTTATTTTCATTTATTTGTTAATTAAATTGGTGTTTTGACCATTTGTTGATTTTGAAGTATAAGTAGAGCAAATTTCACTCCATTTAACCACAACTTCAAGGGAGGTAATCTCTTTCATTATTTTAAATTCTTTTACGTGTTCCAATGTATTTTTATGTGTAATTGCATGTTTTGAGTGTTTTTTTATTATTCATGTTAAGTTTTCATTTTTTATTTAATTTTGATGATTATTTGAGAGGCATTAAAATGTCAAATTGTAATAGATAAGGCGCTCAAGACATGTATTTAGCTAGATTATATAATAGATAGGTTTTAATTTTGCCAAAAATGTAATTAATTAGATAAATGTAATAGTTAAGTTATTATTTTAAAATTTTTTCTTAAATTGTAGTTAGGGCCCCGAATGTAATAGTTAGGCTTTTATTTGCTTGCGTGTTTGCATGCTTGTGTGTTTACGTATTTATCCGCTTTCACTAAGGTTTTGCATTTAGAAATTATGCCTATGTGTTATGTGTTTTATGTGCATTATGTGTTTACTTGCTTTAATTATGCTTTATATGATTTATTTAGTTATAGTAAATGCATGATGTCACCACACTAGTCCAACGCTAGTTGTGGCTTTTCTCCCCGATGTCTCACTAATCCAATGCTAGTGAAAATTTTGTAGAAATGGGATTGTCCAATGCTAGACCCTTTAGGTTGTTATCGAGCAAGATTCATATTTTGCGTGACATTCATAACATTTTATACATATTTTCCATTTTTAGGATATTTTCTCATCTTGCATGATATCTCCTAATAATCTCCCTTGTCCTTATGTGTGTGAAACATAACATTTAGAGTTGCATTTCATTTAAAAAATTAGAAGTGAATTAGTACATTTGCTTGATTAGATTAGGAGAATCACCCTTCAAATATGAGAAATGAACGAGTATGACTTCTTAACTTTAGCACGCTCATGTCTCCTCTATAAAAAGGAAAATTGAAATCACGAACCTTAGTTTTCTGTACCCGTTATGTTGCA